TATCTTGAATTTGATTTTTCTGCTAACAGTCTCGCGTTTATCGCAAATTAAAGACATTTATAAATCCACAATTATAATTACACACATATAATTCCACAATGAACCAATCAATAATACCTCGAATGGTGACGTTATAAATATTATCATATGTATGTGTATATTGCAACGATTAGCGTTATTTACGTCTGTATAAAAAATTACGACAATTAAACATCATCATTGTTGGTAATTAAACAAATGTTTCGCATTTTCTAAATTGGGTTTTACACATTATGTTGAATCATGAAAATGATTTTCTTAGGTTTGCGCCACCGGCATTTGGGTGAATTTAGACTTCAACAAATATTCAATAAAGTGAGAATATTTTCAATCGAAGTTGTTTAATATTGTGGTGTTCTAATTTTTTTTTTATTGCTTAGATGGGTGGACGAGCTCACAGCCCACCCGGTGTTAAGTGGTTACTGGAGCCCATAGACATCTACAACGTACACCTTGAGATAAGTTCTAAGGTCTCAATATAGTTACAACGGCTGCCCCACCCTTCAAACCGAAACGCATTAGCAGCAGGGTGGCATTATAAGCAGGGTGGTGGTACCTACCCGTGCGGACTCAGAAGAGGTCCTACCGCCAGTCAGGAATTGTTTGAGATCCCATCATTTCGTTTTTACCATCGCACCGCCCGCCACCGGAGTAGATTTCATCCATACTACCTGGAGACACTGCATTCATCCGCAGTGCGTTTCCACCGATATTTTTGCCACGTACCGTTCGGCTTTGGAATGAGCTCCCCTTCACGGTGTTTCCCGGGCGCTATGACATGTCCTTCTTCAAACGAGGCTTGTGAGGAGTACTTAACGGTGGGCAGCGGCTTGGCTCTGCCCCTGGCATTGCTGACGTCCATGGTCTTAACTAAGAAATATTAAATGGAATCAAATGAGAAACGCCAACTTTCAAATAAATCATGAAAAATACTTAGAAAAGGGTAAAACCCAAGAAAATACGGTGAAATTAAAAATTTCATTTTTAACAGTAGTTTGTACAGTTTTTTTTTTCACTAAGCTAAAGAATTTCACAGCCCATCTTCTTTTTCAACCCGTGTCCACCCATACTGAATCTTTTTTCTAATTTTTCTAATTTTCATACTGAATTCTTTGAAAAGAATGGATTGCATTTGAGGTCTGCTCAAATGCAATCCATTCTTTTCGGTCTCATGCCTTTCGTATCTACTCCTTGCCAGCTATTTTGCCCACGTCGTCATCCATCTCATTGGTTGTCTGCCCACGTTACGACGTCTAGTACGGGCTCTCCACTCCAGAACTTTTGTGTTCCACCGATTGTCAGTGCGACGGCATATGTGGCCGTCCCACTTCCACTTCGGAAGTCAAACCAGCTCTTCTGCGGATTTCAGTATTGCGAGAGAAATGCCTAACATAGCCCGTTCCATGGCTCTTTGCGTGATTCGCATTTTGGTCATAATTTGCTTTGTGAGCGTCCACGTCTCGACCCCATATACCATCACAGGGAGAGCAAATTGCTCGAATGTCCGACTCTTCAATTTCATAGGTGTATTCCCCTTTATTATCTCAGTCAGCTTACCGAGCAGCTAGCTGCGTGCGGCGCTTTATCTCCCGTCCCTGGCTGGTTCTATTGAAACTGATGTTCTGCCCTAACATACTCCTCCACTCTGTATTTTTTTCTTTGACACAGCCCCTTTGGCGTTAAGTAATTAGAGAAGAGTTCATATGTCAGAACATGCCGCCACCTTCAGACGTGAGATTTTCGATTTTCCTCGAAGTCAGATTTTTACTAGGTAACAACTTCCCCACGCTTCAAACCTGAATCCTGAGACTGTATAGCGCTATTATAGAAATACGCAAGATGACGGTACCTACCCTTACCTACCCTTCTATTAGTCAGTACACTGTTAGTGTGATTATGTTTCTTTATTGCACCTATCTGCATTGCATTATTCAAATAGGGACAAATACACCTGCTACTAAATCTTAAAGAAAATTTCATCATCATTCTCCTGTCCTTCTCCCAATCACCTGGCGTTCGCAAGATGTTTTTTATTGTTTTTTTTTTTATTGCTTAGATGTGTAGATGAGCTCACGGCCCACCTGGTATTAAGTGGTTACCGGAGCCCATAGACACCTACGACGTAAACGCCGCCCCCCACCTCATATGAGTTCTTAAGTCTCCGTTTTTAGAGAACAACGGCTGCCCCACCCTTCAAACCGAAACTTATTACTACTTCACGGCAGAAATAGGCAGGGTGGTGCTACCTACCCGTGTGGACTCACAAGATGTCCTACCACCAGTAAAAGTATTTTCCAGTGTTTTCTTTTTCCATACTCCTCTATCACATACCATCCCTCCGCTCACTCCCTTCTTACCGATATGTGTAACCACGTCCACCTTTCATGTAACCAATGTTAAATAAAACATAAACTCCTAATACGAGAGATACCTTTTTTTATTTTATACTACAAGTAGTAGGACAAACTAAAGTCGAGTGCGATGTCTTTAAAGGGTCAGAAAATGTCAAAATTTAGCTTTTAAAGGTCACTTGTGGAGTGACACACTGTAGTATGTATGAGATTTTTTTAAGGGATTTTATGACCTGGTAACTAGGACCTTTGGGTCATGTCTTATTTTAGTCTAAATTCTTATTGTTATTAAAAATGTTAATATAAAGTAAAATGAGATGAGATGAGATGATATGATATAGTACGAAATATAATCTCAGTAAAATGGTGGTCATTTACTGAGATTTTTTCAGTGACTTTTTGGAGGATCCCGAGAAGCTACGTTCAGCGGCTTTGTTTGATTTACCCACATTTGTTCACTTTCACAGATACTAAACAGTTAATAAACCACCGTTATTACACATTTAAACCTGAAGAAACACTAAATAGACAAATAAATACAAATTACACAACTTAACTCCTCGCGTTCGCGCCAAAAAGTCCTATGTATGAGATCCGGTAAACGCTTAATACTAGGTGTGCAATAAAATTATCTGCCAATATGCGCTCCACAAATAGGTAAAAATTCCAAAGGCACTGCTGAGACAACAATCTGCTTTCATATCCAATTATAATCTTGATCGTCAACGAGTTAAAACAAAATTAATTATCACAAGAGTGTTGCTAGATATAAGAATACAAACTTAGTATATTAATTAGCGCTGAAAAACAAACAGCATAAATAAATGTTGAAATACATTATGACGTGTAAAGCGGTTACATAGTATAGGTATTTCCCATTGTTCATCTTATAGTAACGATGATAAAAACTATAGTTTCCATCATGATAATTTTTCGATGTCACGATTCGATTACTTTTTAACCGATTTCAAAAATAAGTAGAGTATAAAATCGACTGTATTTTTTATTTGGATTTGGTTACCTCAAAACTTTTTTCTAGGTGAACCGATTTTTATGATTCTTTTTTTTATTATTGATTTTATCTTAAGACCAGCAGTTTCTGAGTTATCCTCAATAATACACATTTAATTAACTAAATTAATGATATTCACAATTTATATTGTTCAAATAGGTTGTTTTTTTTCTTGCTAAAATATCGTATTAACATTTGACAAAAAAAAAAAACGATGTATTTGTTATTCCAAAAAATCTCGTTCTTGCTCACACTTGTTATAATACCATATCGTTAATCAGTATTTTTGTATTGTTTTTTATTTATTTATCTATATATACAAAAATGGATGACTGTTCGTTAGTCTCGCTAAAACTCGAGAACGGCTGGACCGATTTGGCTAATTTTGGTCTTGAATTATTTGTGGAAGTCCAGAGAAGATTGAAAAGGTAGATAAATATGAAAATGCTCGGATTTAAATAAAAATAACCATTTTGTTTTTCCTTTGATGCTGTCCCCCTTCCGGACGGATTTTTTGGTTTGTTTTAAATTTATTTTATACAAAAGTTTAAGTCTTTTATTTCTCGAGTGAGGCACTACGAGTCTAGTCGAGGTCAGCTAGTTTTAAATAAAATTATCGAAATCATGTTTTATTACAACAGATAATTCAACTACCAGGGCGTTAAATTCTCACCAGTAGCGATATAAGTCACAACTTGAACGCTCTACCTTCATTGAGACAAGAGATTGAGGTCTCAATTGTACTGGAATAAGGTCACTTATCCGTCACCACGGAACACATAAATGCTCTCTAGTTCCTACTAGACAAGCAGCTCACAATACGGCGAACCATCATTATTAATTACGCAAATAAATAATAAATTTCACTAACAATACAATTAAATTACAAATAACATTGCGTGTTTAATACCCGCTATATTTTCCCGACAAAAAAACATTAATTTTTCTTCCACACAATTACATAGCTAAAGTACAATCGTATCGGCAAATTGTTGGAAATCGGAATATAGACGGCTAATATTCACGGCTAATATTTACTGGTGGTAGGACCTCTTGTGAGTCCGCACGGGTAAGTACCACCGCCCCGCCTATTTCTGCCGTGAAGCAGTAATGCGTTTCGGTTTGAAGGGTGGGGCAGCCGTTGTGACAATACTGAGACCTTAGAACTATATCTCAAGGTGTGTGGCGCATTTACGTTGTGGATGTCTATGGGCTCCAGTAACCACTTAACACCAGGTGGGCTGTGAGCTCGTCCACACGTCTAAGCAATAAATAAAAAAACTTGCAAAACACAGTTCTAAGTTACATATTTCGCGTATTCCTCTTTGTTTTTATGAAAATGTTTTTATCGACCTAAAAAACGGCAAGACCAAACTGCATAATACAAGCAACAGTAACATGATGTAGTTCAAGGAATGACCTTTTAATGCTCCCTGTGGCAAACGCACATTTGTTATCGTATTTGATTCTAACTAAACGAGAATACACAAAAACCCAACGATCTCTTACTGTGGGAAGATACGTCTATATAAAAACTTATTGTTTCCACTTAGCTATGTATGAGTTCTCGTGAACTTTATACATACACGCACGATTATAATAACGATATAAAAAGGATGATGTTATACAAACGACGTCAGTAAACAAAGCCGCTAGACATGAAACAGACGGTGCGGTCCTGTATCGTCCTTTGCCTTTTTGTAGGCTTGGGAAATGCATCAGGTAATAATAATAATCTTCATATTATAATTTGCAAGCTATATTGTTTACTCAATTGATTTTAAAATCAGTTCAAACTATTTTATTAAGTAAATTTTGCATTTAATAGCTCGTTTTGATTTTTTTCAATGTATTCTTTCAATGCATTGGACTTTTATCTAGGTGGATTCTTTGTCTACACACATTGATATCCCCGTCAGACAGTTGAATTGCTTTACTTTTTGTTGCAGTAAGAGTGCGTCGAGGCTATGGAGGTAGCGTTGGAGGGGGAGGGGGAGGAGGAGGAGGCGGTGGAGGAGGATTCGGTTTCGGAGGCGGTGGCGGTGGCGGATTCGGCTTCGGAGGCGGTAGCGGGGGCGCCTTCGGAGGAGGCCTCGATACGATCCGGGAAGGTGTTGGCAATATTATCGGAAAGGTTCACGCCGGTCTCTCCGGTTTGGGTGGCGGAGGTTTTGGCGCTGGAGGCGGCGGAGGTTTTGGCGCCGGAGGCGGCGGAGGTTTTGGCACTGGAGGCGGTGGAGGTCTTGGAGGTGGTAGTCATGGTGGATTTGGAGGATCTAATGAAAAAACGATCTACACGAAATCGAACGATGGAAAATCTGGTGGTTTCGCCTTCACCGGTACATTAGATGGCGGAAAAGGTGGTTACGGCGGTGGCGGTGGATACAGTAATGGCGGTAATGGAGGCGGCGGCTACGGTGGCGGCGCTGGGTTCGGTGCCGGAGGAGGCTTAGGTAGCGGTGGATCAGGAGAAGGTGCTGGCGGGCACAGCGGCAGTGGAAACGGAAAGTACAATGGAGCGAGTGGATCCGGAAATAACGGCTACGGAGGCAGCAGCGGCGGAGCATTCGGTGCAGGAGGTGGATTTGGAGGGGGTGCTGGCGGTGGCCTGGGCGGTGGTGGAGCAGCAGGGGGACTAGGCAGTGGCAGTGGAAAATACGGTGGCTCCGGAAACGGTGGCTATGGAAGCAGTGGAAGTGGAGGATTTGGCGGAGGTGCAGGTTTTGGAGGGGGAGCCGGTGGTAGTAAACACAGCAGTGGCGGTCACAGTGGTGGAGGAGGCTTCGGTGCCAGTGGTGGATTTGGTGGAGGAGGAGGTGGAGGAGGTGGTGGTGGTTCTGGATCTCATGAAAATTCTGGAAGTGAAGAATATGGATCAAATGAAAATGAATTTCACGTAAAAGGCGACAGTAATGGCGGCAGTAGTGGTGGAGGGTTGGGAGGTGGTGCGGGCGGTGGATTTGGAGGTGGAAGTGGCCACGGCGGCAGTATTAGTGGTGGTTATGGTAGTCACGGTGGAAATAAAGGAACTGGCAACGTTGGTTACGGCGGTGGAGGCGCTGGAGGAGGTTATGGCGGTGGCGCTGGAGGGGGCTATGGCGGTGGCGCTGGAGGGGGTTTAGGCGGCGGTACCGATGGTAGCTTTGGGTTGGGCCTCACAGCTGGATTTTCTGGGATCGGCGCCGGAAAAGGAGGTGGATTTGGTAGCGGTGGAGGAGGACTGGGCGCCGGAGCAGGTACGAGCCACAGCGGTGGATTCGGCGGATCACTTGGCTTTGGTGGTGGACACGGTGGTTATGGCGGAAGTGGAGGAAGTAGCCATAGTGGTTCCGGTGGATATGGCGGAAGTGGAGGAAGTGGCCACAGTGGATCCGGTGGATATGGCGGAAGTGGCCACGGTGGTTCAGGTGGTGGCTGTACTTCTGGTTGCGGTGGCAGCGGTGGTTACGAAAGCCATAGTAATGCCTTTGCCTCTGCTAGTGCTAAAGCTTCAGCCTCTGCTAGTGTCGGAAGCTATGGCAAATGAAATGCGTTTCGTAATTAATAGACTGTTTCTCTAATGGCCATATAATTATATGAGACTATTCTAGTTAGTTACATAAAATAAACTCTAATATTATGTTGCAATAAAATTGTTTTTCTGTAATATAACTTTATTGGTCTTAATTTACGTTGAGATCTTAATTCATCGGAATATTCCATTTCAAAAACACAGTCAGAGGTCAACTAACATTTGCTAACTAAAATTTAGACAAACAACTAGAACGTAATCCCACGAGATAATTCAAATAAAACAGGTAATGTTGTATCTTCAACTGCTACAGAAGGCATTAAAATAAACTCGAGCAAAAAACGAGAACAACTTTGTTCAGAAATAAAAACTCGACCATAGCAAAAAACTGTTGTTGAAATATTCATTTTATACCTTAATGGATAAGACGATTTGTTACTTGTAACTTTACTTAGTGAAGATAAAATTTAACAGAGAAAAGGGAAAATACGCGAATACTTGCGGCAGAGCTGGGAATGTTCTCGCTTAAATATGCAGTACCTTCAGAATTTACCTCAGGCATAATCCCATCCCTAGATACTGTTTTTTGATTTTCTTTTTTATTGCTTAGATGGGTAGACGAGCTCACAGTCCACCTGGTGTTAAGTGGTTACTGGAGCCCATAGACATCCACAACGTAAATGCGCCACCCACCTTGAGATATAAGTTCTAAGGTCACCCTTCAAACCGAAACGCATTGCTGCTTCACGGCAGAAATAGGCAGGGTGGTGGTACCCACCCGCGCGGACTCACAAGAGGTCCTACCACCAGTGTACTCAGTTTTAAAAGTTTTACTTTACGGAACTTTGTGTTTCAACTGTTTTTCGAATAACAATGCTCTCGTCTGAGTCCTCAGTAAGATCAACACAAACATTTTTTCACACCCTCAGATTTTGCCAGTCGGTGATTTCATTCATTGCTAATAGAAATAATATAGAGATGTACATCATTTCATCACCGCAGACTACTTCTCCAGCCTCGTTTGAAGAAAGGCAAGTTTTAGCGCTCAGGGAACACGAGAGAAGTATCAATTCATCTCTTAAAACGCACTACGAACCACCACATCTATTCCAAACAGTAGAGATAGGCTACGCGATGATAAGTGATGGTTAATAACAGATAACGGGATCATCTAACTTCTAAAACAACGAGGTTCAAAAGTTAAGTTTGAGGTGAAAAATATTGATAACCGATCCACTAATGCAATTGAGATATCAAACTCATGTTAATGTGTTGGAGATGATTTCAAGTTATTGCCTACACAAAAAAAAAAATTAAGAATGAAAAACATATAAGAAAACCACTTTTTATTGCCCTTGTATAGGCAGACCCGCATATGACCCACCAGATGGTAAGTGGTTACCATTGCTCGTGGACATCAGAAATGCCAGGGGCAAAGCCAAGTCCCTGCCTTCCGCTAACATCGTGTTCGGATATGACTCCCACTACGACCCATTTAAATTTGATACGAAGGATTCAAACTGGAAAAAAATGTGGTGAAATCAATTCGGGCAATACCACAAGTGACCACAAGGTGTATTTGTTTCATTCAATTTGAAAACGTAAACAGGTCTGATATCAAAACAAAAACTTTTTGGATGTCGAAAGAATAAATAATAAAAAACCAATCTTCACAAAAAGGACTATAAAATCTGTATGACGAAAACAATAATTACGTTCAACAAGAACTCCTAATTTATAGTCAGTTTAATTAAGTAACATCATAAAACAAGTTTTGAAATGGTTTTCTCCTATTTGTCTAAAGACACGACTGACGTCATAAAAACCGGTACATTAGTTCATCTTATTCTAGTTACAGAAGCTACTTCCATCGGTGACATGTGAATACTACATTTTTTTTTAAGTGAAAATTCTTAAGGCTCATTGAGAATAAAATTAAACTCGCGACCTCGCCACACCTTGAGATATGAGTTCTAAAGTCTCAATATAGTTGGGTGGGTGGGTGGTGGTATCTACCCGTGCGGACTCACAAGAGGTCCTACCACCAGTAATTAAGCAAATTATAATGTAAGCAAATTAAAATTATAATGATTTTTATTAGACGATGCTATTCCTTTACCGTGGAAGTCAATCGGGAACATTTGTTAAGTGCGTATTTCCTTAGAAAAATTGGTACCCATCTGTGGCATTCAAGCAACGATGCATTTCTCGACACAAAGGCACTGGACGACTTTAGGCCACGACGACTTCAGGTCACCCTTTAAAACAATGCTTAGTGTTATTAAGTGTAATTAAGGGTTTACACGTCATTACGGATTCTCCCGATCCATTAACGGTGCTTTTAGGTACCTCAAGCACCGGTCACCGTCCTCGCCGAACCCGTCGCTTGCGACGATGGGCTCAACGAGTAAGTTAACCCATAGGCACAGTCCACTGAATTTCTCGCCCGATCTTCTCAGTGGGTCACTTTTCCGATCCGATGGTAGATTCTGCGAAGCACTGCTTTTGCTAGGGCCAATATTAGCAACGCTCCCGGTTTGAGCCCCGTGAGCTCACCTACACGTCCAGTAGCTGAAATAGCCTTTCAAGGTTTTCAGCTTAGGTAGGAAAAAAGAAAAAAAGGGTTTTAAACAGATTAATATCAGAAAATAATTAATCAAATGTATAGTGTTTTTACGTACTGGTTTTTTTCCTTACCTATTAGCTGGTAGCCTCTGGGAGTATTCTAGATACGTGTCGACGGGTAGATTAGGTAGCTCAGGAGCTCAACCTGAGATTATTTTCTAGCACTAGCCCTAACAGGAGCAGTGCTTCGTAGAATCTTCCACGGATCGGAATCGCGGTACACTGAGAACATCCGCCGAGAAACTCAGCGGGCTGTGTGCATTGATTTAAATATTTCAACTCTCTGGCTGTGTGTATGTTTGTACTCGTTGATTTCAACACTATTTATTATAATTTAGAGCACACTCGTCCACTGCTGGATAGGTCTGTTCTGTTTTGCATCACTGAAGTCTGTACAGCTTCCCTTATTCACCTCTTCTCATCCCTATTTCTCAAATTACCGCCTCCTAGCCGATGAGTGCCTTACATTACATTAGGTGGAGCGTGGTCTCCACTGAAGACTCCATCTGCTCTAGCGTTCGACGATTCTAAGGCACTGTTGCCACTTAAGCTTGCTGGGTCTATATCATTGCCTTTAGTTAAGTATCTTTCGAATAACTTTATTCCTGATTTTATTCTTAAGAGAAGCTTCATAGCTCGATGAGCGATTTTGAGCTCATGGACCAGCCGCACTGCAAGTGCTCGCGCTGCGACTCCATCGATCATAACCAATGATGCACTGGTTGAAATTATGAACTTCATTTAAAGTTACATTCGGAACCATTCAAAATCGGGGACATTAACTAACAAAATGGGATACAAAAAGGCACTAAGTATATCTAAGAAATTATTATGCGTATAAATACATATATGTAAGTACTAATGTTCGTTTTAAAAATATTCATTCGCGTCTGCAGAAAACCAGTTGTGGTATAATAATATTGAAGACATTATTATTTACCTTCGTTTAAAATTAATTGAGCATCATTTAATGTGTATAAATAACTTTAATATCAGCCGCAAATGCTCGACGTAGTGATTAAAATATACAGATTAATCTTTAAGAATAGAGATTTACAGCCTCCGGTAAGGTAATTTGACGAGCTCTATAATAGACCATTTTAAAATACGCTGTTTTAAAAAAAAAAGTTATATGTGGTGTCGTGGGACACCAGGTAGGAACGAAGTTCCTTCGGCTAATGTAGAATCGACACAAATTGCAAAAAAAGAAATGGTGCTCAATTTTATGTAGGTTTTCTTGGTTTTTCTCTTAAATTTTGCTGATTAGTTTTTATTTAAGTACGGGAAAGTATTTAGGAAATTCAGTATTTTAGGAAATAATAAATTACGTAAAAAAAAAAAAAAATGTAATTTAAATTATCAATTAAAATAACAAAATATATCTTTTTATTTTTGGTTGACAACATAAAATTACATAGAAATAGAAATAATTACTAAATAGAGATAGAGAAGGGATTAGAGAACGAAAAGAAAGAAGGAGAAAGAGAAAGGTATTATACACTACTCGCTTGTGTATGCGACTGTCGCGCCTGCGCACATCTCATTTAACGGTTTTATTCCACGCACTTTTTTCCACGGATTTTTTCTTACGGTTTTACTATCACATTTTTTTCAGTTCGGTCACGCAGCAAAATCCCTATCCCCTCCAAGCCTGCCGTAAGGAACTTCGTTCCAATAACATAATTGACTTTTTATATTTTAACAATTAAACACCAAATTATATCGACTTCAATTCTTATATCTCATTTACTGGCTTGTAGTAAAATGGCTACTTAACATTTCTATTCTTCTACAAATTTAATGTTATATGAGTATTTTATATTAGGTCTTATGAAATGGTCTTTTAATTTAAACAAAATGTAGACACTTTTTATAAAAAAAAAATTATTTCTGTCAATCAAAATAGCATATATTATAGTATCAATGAATTTCTACTAGCGCAGTTGGAATTTTTAATGCCCTTCTGAAGAAGTCAGGGAGCCAATATACTCTTCACTTCCAACCCTAGTAGCTCTAGTAGCTTACTCGCTGCCTGTTGGATAAGAGATCGAGTCTTGTCGTGTAAGAGCAGCATGGATGAGCAATTAACCAAGGATCACCAGATATTCGCAAGCTTCATTATTGTGTGCAGTTTCTCACAATGCACTTCCGCTATAAGGCTGATGCCATTTGGAAAGAAACCGTCATAAATTATATCAACATTAGACCACCAAACACTGACCATGACTTTTAGGGATAAATTTCCATTTAGGGTATTTCCTAAGTCCTGAATCAGGGCCTAACCAACATAATAACCACTTACGGTTTTTAAAAACAATACAATTTTCATCGCAAATGAAAATGGGTTTTTTTTATTGCTTATATGGATGGACGAGCTCATAGCCCACCTGGTCTTAAGTGGTTACTGGAGCCCATAGACATGTACCATGTAAATGCGCCACCCGCCTTGAAATATAAGTTCTAAGGTCTCAGTGTAGTTACAACGGCTACCCCACCCTTCAAGCCCAAACGCATT